AAGAGATTTGCCTTGTTGTCGATTTTTTAAAATAAACAATTGAAAGAGGATGCTTCCAAAATGGAATATAGTATATTAAATTCGGAGAAAATTAAAATAAACATCTTCATCATTTAAATAATTCAGAAAAAAATGTACTTCTTAAAGTTTTTGATATTAGAGATCCAGTAATAAAGGCTTTTGAAATTGGAGACAGTATGTTTTTACCTTATATTCCTGAAGTTTCTTTTTATTAAGAATTATCAAGGAGTTTATTTGGTATTGGAGGAATACTTGTTATTATCTTAAGCTTTATTTATTTGGCAATAGAATAGAATTATATAATTAATTAAATTAAATAATATTAAAGTAATATTTACCCATATATTATAAGATGATTATAATTAATATAAATATATGTTTTTGTTTTAATTTAATAATAAAGTAATTTAATTTTTTAAAGAAAGAATTTGTTTTTTTTTTATTAAGAATATTAATTAAAACAAGAAATTAAGTTAATATAATTTTTTTAAATATATTCCAATTAATTGTTTTTTTTTTTTAAAAAAAAAAATAAGATAAAAATAATATAAAAAATATGAGATTTACACGAGGAGCGGCTTTAGGTTTTTTAGTAAATAAAAAAAACAACAAAAACCAGAAAAAGATAAACCTTATTATTTAGATATATATTTAACAAAAAACAAAAGTAGATTAGAAAAAGAAACATCTTTAAAATATAAAAAATATCCAAAAGCAGCTTGGTTTTTGGGTACATTTTCAATATGTTTTGGTTATTATTTATTATAAATTTTGGTAATAAATAGACATTTATTAATTGGCTAAATAGGCATTTTATGGAATTATTTTTTATGTTTAAGCATTATGGTTTTCGGTAGTTTTTTTTTCATTTTTTCAGAAATATACACGTTAGTTTTGAATAAGAATTATAACATTTTGATTGAAGAAAAAAAGCCTTTATTTGGCAAAAAAAAATTAAAGATAAATAAATTAGATTAAATTAAATAACTAAAAATTATCAAAAAGGGACATGTTAAAACTGATACTGATACCACTCATTATATTCTTGCTTTTGAATTTTAAGACGGAACTTTTTTTGAAACTTTCTATGATCGAAAATTATAGGATATTAAAAAAAAATTCGCTGATATTATGGTTTTCTTAAATAGATATGAAGGCTTTGATTTCAAAAAAATACCTATTATAGATTAGAGTACAACAACTTTGAAAAAAAATAAGCCGCCATAATAGAAAAATATTAACACTTCTAATAATACGAGCTTATAATCTAGTTCAAAACTAGAAAGCTTTAGTGGCGATTTTAATAATAATTAAATTTTAGAAAATTTAAATAGTATTAATACTGAAAGTATTATAATTGATAAAAATAAATGAAAATTATTATTTTTTTTATAAAAAATAATTTGGAATGAATTTATAAAATTTTTTTGTTCTAATATTATATTTATATATCGATAAAAATTTATGTTTTTTAATTCTTTTTAGAATAATATAATAAAGATATAGCAAAAAAAGAAAATTTTCTTTTAAGAAATAAAATATATAAATATTAAGAACAATTTATTTATAATAGTAGAATATATATTTTGTTCCTTTTTTTTGCTTTTTTTGTTTTTTATTTTGGTCCTATATAATTTAAAAATATTTAAAATTTGTGAAAAATTTTAAATATTTTTAAAAATTAATAAAATACAAAATTTAAATTTATTTTAAAATTAAAAATAACTAAAATATAAATATAACTTTAAAAAATAAATAAAATTGAAGCAATTTAAATAAATTATATTATTATCTTATCTTTAATAATAATTTAAATTATAGCTCTATTATTATATCTTAATGTATTTATAAAATTTCATATTATTTTTTTATTATATAATATATTACATTAAAATGAATTTATATTAAGAAACTTTGACTTTATATAATTATTTTTATATAAAAAAAGCAATTTTTGAATCTAAATATATATAAATTGATTTAGTCATGAATTTTCGATATAAAATATTAGAATTTAAATAAACAATAATTTATGTTATTATAATAAACTTTATAATATTATTTAAAAAACTCTGAAAAAATGAAGAGTTATTTTTTATTTTTTTTATTTTTATTTTTTATTTTTTTTTTATGATATATATTAAATCATATATTTTTTATTTATAAATAAAAAAATAAGTTTTGAATTTTACCCGGTTTTTCTATTTTCAAATAATATTAATTAAATCCCAATATAAATTTAAAAATAAATTTAATTGTATACTAAATTATTATAATTAGAAACACGTTTACATAAGTAATAAAAATACTTATAATAAGAATCATTTTAAAGATGGAATATTTTATAATATTTTTATGGTTTTATTATAATTTTTGAATTATTTATTATCTTCTATATTTTTTTTTTACTTTTTTATATTTTTTAATTTTTAATTTTTCAAAATTAAATTTTAAAAATATTTAATTTTATATCTTGCTAGTTAAACATATATAAAATTTAAATTATGAATAATCAGTTAGTAAATAATTTTAAAAAGGCAATCGGCTATATATTATTTTTATAATTCAACATTTAATTTTTTATTTAGAAAAGAAACATTCAAAAATAAAATAAAAATTCTTCTAAAAAAGCTTTTAATAAGTATTTTTTTTTTACATTTTTATTTCGTACAAAAATAAATTTTTAAAATTAAATTAATTTTAAAAATTAAAAATTTTGAAAAAAAAAAAAAAATATTGTTAAAATCCAATAAATAAATTTTAATTTATTAAAAAAATAAATAATCATAATAACTAATCTAAATAATAAATAATTAAAAAAAAATTCTTAATAAAAAAAAATATAAAAAAAAATGATTTTTGAATACCCAAATCCTGAAAGTCCAATTATCCCTTTGATGAATTAAAAAATTAATATGTTTTACTTACCTACTGAATTATTTGATTTTTCTGAAGAATAATTTATAAAAGAAAAAAAAGAATACATAAAGAAACAATATAAAATAATCAAAAAGAAAAACAATTAAACTAATAAAATAAAAAATAAATACTTTTTTGACATGTAAAAACCTTAAAATTGTAGACATGAAATAATTTAATAATAATGTTTTTGAATTTCTTAAAATAAAAAACTTTTAATTAATAAAAAATTTGTAAATAAAAATAAATTTTCTTGAATAACTTTTTCGTTTTCTTTTTAATAATAAAAAAAATAATAACTATAAAATTTTTGTTGTAATTATTTATTTATAGTTTGTAAAAATTTTTTTTAATAAAATTTAATATTTATCATTAACAAAATAAAAAATAATATAATAAATATATATAATAATGAAATTAAGTTTTTTTTTATTATAAATTAAAAACTAAATAAGATGATTTTTTTTTTTCTTTATTATTACATTTTCGAATTACTCATATTTTATTTTTAATTATTTTCTTCTAAATATTTTTTTTTTATTAATATAAAGATTTATTTTCAAATATAGAAAATAAAATATTAATTTTTTTTTTTCTTAATATATGAAAAAAATATTAGATTTAATCGTTTCATAAACACTTTTTTAATATATTTATATTAAATACTATATTATTATATTTAGTAATAAATACTTATTTAATAATGTCTATTTTTTTCCTATTTTAATTAATTTATTATTTTTAAATTTATATATACAATAAAATCATAATAAAATTTAATAATAATAAAATGAAATTATGTTAAATATAAACAAATTTTAGAATATAAGAAATAATATATATTTTGATGTACTTTTTAATATTAATATTTGCAATTTTTATTTTACATTATTTTTTAAAAAAAACATATCAAACATAAAAAATAAAAAAATACGGGAAAAAATAAATTATATTCTTTTTATTTAATATAATTTAAAAAAATTAAAGAAAAAATGATAAATATAATACTTAAAATAATAAATATAATATGATTTCAATTCACTTTAAAAACAATTTATGGATTTTTTTATTGTTTATCAAATAAAAAGTTTTTTTTTTTTTAATATTAACATTAAACTTCAATTTGTTATTTAAATATTAATTTAATAAAATATTAAAATTATTATAAAAACATAAATTTATAGATTTAAAATATATATATATATATATATATAATTAATAAAATTAAAAAGAAATCATATGAATTTTTTTTATGGATTGTAATATAAACATTTTTTTTTTATTTTATTTTTTTAAATTACAGATTTTTAAAATAAAATAATAAATTTCGAGTTATTGCTATTTTATTAAAAGAATAATATAATTAAATAATTTGTAAATAAAAAAATAATTAAATATAATCTGATATAAAAAATTATTAAAATAAAGAGCTTATGAATTTAGAAATAAATATAGATAATACAGAAAAAAAAAATATAAATATAGTTTTAATTAAAAAAAAAAAAAAATAGATATTTATTTACATATATAATTTTATATAATTATACTTTAATATATATTATATATTTCTTTATTTGATTCTATATGTAATTTAATATTTTATATATTTACTAAATATAAACTATAAAATTTAAGATTAAAATATTTATATAAATTTATATTTTATATGTTTATTAATATCAATTAATTTAAATCTTAAATTATTTAGATGTAAAAAAAACCTATTTCAAAAATTTAAAAATACACGTGTGAAATAGAAAAATGCATTATATTTTAAATTAATAATTTTATATTACAAAAATATATATATATATATATATATATATATATTAAAAAAATATTAATGATATATATATATATATATATATTTATATATAGATATATAACATATATATATATATTTCTTTTCTTCTATATTTTAAAAAATAAAATAAAACAAAATAACAAAATATATATGTAGAAAAAATTATTAAATTTAATTTTTTTCATTTAAAAATAAAATATAAAAATAAATTTTTTTCGAAATTAAATATAAAAAAAAAATATATAAAAATAAAAAAATGTTCTTATTTAATTTTTTCAAAGACATGTTGGGCTATTTAGGTCTATATAAAAAAAATGGAAAAATATTATTCTTAGGTTTAGATAATGCTGGCAAAACTACATTATTAAGAAGATTAAAAGACGGAAGAATGATTTAACATGATCCAACTCCATAAGCCCATACTGAAGAATTAGTTTTAGGAAATGTAAGATTCAAAGCATTTGATTTAGGTGGTCATGAAGCTGTAAGAAAAACATGGAAGAACTATTATTCATCAATTGATGCTATAGTATATTTAGTAGATAGTTCTGATCATGTAAGATTTTCAGAATCAAGAATAGAATTTAATAAAATTTTAAATACTCCTGAATTAGCAAAAGTTCCTATTGTTATTTTAGCAAACAAAATTGATATAACTGGAGCTGCAGGAGAAGAAGAATTAAGATTAAACTTTGGTTTAGCAAATAAAACATAATTCGGAATTGAAAAAGTAACAGAATTGGATGGAAGATAAGTGGAATTATTTATGTGTTCCGTGGCTAAAAAAATTGGTTATGCAGATGGATTCTAATGGATTTCGAAATTCTTAAATTGAGAAAAATAAAAATAAAAATAATAAATATTGTTTTTTGTTAGAAATTAATTAATATTTAATATATAAAACATTTTTTAAATTTTTTTATTATTTTCATTAATTTTATTTTAAAATAGAAAATGAAAGATTGATAATATATATATATATATATATATATATATATATATATATATATATATATATATTATATATTTATAAATATTACATATACAAATATAATTATAAATTTTTTATATATTTTTTTTATATTTTTATATTGATTTAATAAATATATTTTAAATAATTTCATAAAATTTTAAATATTAATTAAAATTTATTATGTACATGAAATTTATTTAAGTAAATTATTAATGTAAAAATTTAATAATATAAAAAATATTAATAATTATGTTAATTTTATATTTATAAATAAATTTTAAAAATAAATTAATATTTTTTTTCATTAAAAAAAACTTTTATCATTTTATTCAATATTATTTAAAATATTATTATTGAATTAATCAATTAGTTTAAAATTTTATTTTTCCTAATATTCCTTCTATTAAATATTATAATTTTTTAGAGTCTGATTATAGTTAGGGATTTTAAAATACTTTTAAACTATTTTTTATTTATTACTGTTTATTCTATTTAACATATCTATTTAATTTTTCTTTACCTTATCATTTATAATTTTTATTACATTTTCTATATTATTATTTGGGATAATAAACAAGATAATTATTAGCTTTCTCATTTAATTCTTCATTTTAAAATTACATTATTTAAATATCTTAATTTTGGTAAATTTACGATTTTTACAAAGATTAAGTATTATAATTATTTTGAGCTATGTTAATTTTTTTACTATTTCTTTTTAGATTTATTACTATAAAGATGGTTATTATTATAATAAAGGAATTAAAGCTTACTGTTATTAATTATTTTATTATTATAATTATTTATATTATTATTATTATTATTATTATTATTATTATTATTATTATTATTATTATTATATATATTATTTTTATTAAGGATCAGAAATAATTTTTTCTGAAATTTAACTTTATTTACTTTTCATGCTATTATTAAGCACATTTGATGTCATAGAATTAACACTATTTTTTTCTTCTTTTGTTTTAGATTTTATTATTGCTTTTTTATTAGTTAAAGATGTTTAAGAAACGAAAGCTTCACTACTTACTATTTAATTCAAATTGTTTAAAACAGCTATATCCGAAATTAAATCTTCAAAACATAAAGAGCATAAAGACTCTTTCTAATTTTATGGACGAGAAGAATTTCTTTTGATCGTTGATTAATTTATTTATTATTAATTATTTACTAAAAGTGAAGAATTTTTTTAAATTGTATGCGCTTTATCTGAAAACTCTTGAGAAAGCATAAATTTATCATAATAAATTTTTCTATCTATAAGTTCTTAATCTGAAAAAGGAAATATATAATTTTCTTCTGAAAATAAATATTAATAAATTTAAGTATTTTCTAATATTTAACTTAAAGCTATTTAATTATTTTTAATATTTTATAAAGCTTTGTATTTTTTTCTTTATTTTCTTTTAATTTTTTCCAAGCACCCTTTTTCTTACATAGAAACATCTTTTTATATTTAAAAATACTTTCTTTTTTATATATGACATTCTTAGCAATTTTACCCTAGGTGATTTTCTTATTTACATATATAGCATTTCACATTTATTTTCTTTAGATTGCTTTGTAATTATATCTCATCTTTTAACATACAATATAATTCATAATCTAGTAAATTAACTTTTATTAATTCTACAAATTCTACTCTCTTAATCTTTAATACTGTCAAAATACCTTTAGAAAGTACACTAGCTTTCCTTTTTTCTCCTGTAATGAAACTAAGCTCTCCAAAATAATCATATTTGTTTAATTTATCAATAATAAATTGTGAAGAAGAGGTCATTTTTTATTATATTATATGCGCTTCCCCCTATAAAATTAAATATAAAGCTTAATCATCTAATGTATTTTCAGAAATGACATATTTATTAGGCTAAAAAGTGATTTCTTAAATAATTGAAAATAGTTTAGATGATAACGATTTCTTGAAATTGCTCAAAAAAGGTATTTTTTCGAAAAAAATAGATTCTATGAAATTATCTAAAACCTATTTTTCTTAGTTTGGAAGAAAAACTAATGTCTCTTATTAACTTTATGTGTTCGAGAATATATTTGTAATAGGCAAATTTGCAATATAATTTAAATTCTAATCTAAAATGGTATTTTTTATATTATATTTAAGAGAATGTTCCATTAAATCAATTTAATGTTAGATTTTTAAGCTTTTTTCTTTATATTTTCTCTTTTTAATATTAAAAAAAGTCCAAAATATATACATATAAATTAGTCCTAATGTTGAACTTTAGATTTGTAAGAAAATTAAGTAATCTTTTTCTATTTATTCTTGAAGAAAGTAGGAATTATTACCAAATATGCAAGTAATACATAATAATATATTTTCAGTAAATTAATATAAAGTACACTAATATGAGAAAATAAATATATTGATATATATATATATATATATATAAATATTATATATATATATATAAATAATTACTTAATTTTAAAGATATAGCTAAAAATTTGTAAAAAACAAAATTATTAAAATAGAATATATAATTACTTTAAAAACATCATATTAATAAAATTTAAATCTTTTGAAAAAATGAAGTTTAAGACTTTTTATATTTTAATTTATTTTAATAGTTTTTAACAAAACAAATATCCTTAAAATCACCAAATAAAAATTAGGTATCTAAAAATATATAATTGGGTTTAAAGTTTCCAACAAAATGATAATTGTTGGCAATATATCAGCTAATTTTAGTATATTTGGGTAATTTTTTATAGTCTATGGAAGTATTTAGTTAGTATATTTATCATAATATTATATCGAGAGTCCAAAAATAACTTCAATAAGAGAAAAAAAATATAAAAAAGATTAAAAGATAAACAAAGGAAATGTATTTTGGTAACATTTTAAAGTTTTAAAAAGGTAAAACTAAATAATAAAAATATTAAAGAGAATACTAAGGAATAAAAAAGAAAATGAAAAATTACTCAATAACCCTTTAGTTTATATAAATTTATAAAGTTTAAATGAAATAAGTTCAAAACCAAAATCAAGAATTTTTTATAATGAAGATTTTGTCAAATTTATATTTTTTGTGATTTTTTTTTATGAAAATAAATCTGTTTTATCATTTAAAAGCACTCGAATTTTTTCGAAATCAATAAAAATGGGATTATCTGGGATTAGATCTTACTATTATTAGTATTTTATTTTTTGTTAACTTTTTTACTTTTATATTGAAGAACAATGAGATTCTATAATATGTTTTTTTTATTATATTTCATATTTTATTTTATTCTTAGAAGGTTATCTGTGTAAATATTAAGATTATATATTTTCTGTCTTAATATTTTGTTCTACTTTTTAAATTTATTTTTTAGAAACTCTTCTTTAGGTTTCAAACGAATAATTTCTTACCTTCTCTAAGAATCTTTTATAATTTTACTAGGTATATTACGGATAGGAATTTGAATTCAATAATGTAATTAAAGAAAATCTTTATCTCTTTATTATTTATTCTGTTTAAGTTTCTTTCTTTTTAAAAGGAATTATTTCTCCAGTTTTTAAATAGTCTTTTTTTCTAAACTATGAGACTTTTTGTGTTGGTTCTTTCTATTTTTTATTTTTATTATTTTTTATTTTTAAAATCATTTTTTTTTTTTTTACTTAAGATTCTTATTTATGCTTATTTATTTGTAAAACATTATAAGCCTAACTATGACTTTCTTAATTTATTTCATAACTTACTTAGCTTAAGTCCTTAGAACACGTTAATGAAAATGCAAAGTTCGGCACACTTTCTTCTGAGTTGTGCTTTTGAATTTATTTCATGAAGTTTATTTTATTTGTTTTTCCTTGTTTGATTTCTGAAATATTTTGTATTTAATTATTTCTATATATAATATGTATATTTTTTTATGCGTTTGTTGTTTGAAATAGTTCAATATTAATTATAAATATAGTTATATTTATTTATTTGTTTTATTTTTTTGTTAAAAATAATTTTTATAATTGAAATTTCCAATTATTATTATTTTTATTTTTTTTAAAAAAAAATAAATAATTAAAGTAATATAAATTAATACAGTATTATAATAATTAATATTAATAAATATATAAAAATATTTTATTTTAATAATAATTAATGAAGATTAATAAAAATAAATAATAACTAAAAAACCGCCTTTTGAAAATTTTCTATCAAAATTATTCAGAAAATAATTAATTACAAATAAATAAAAATAAATAAAATTAAAAAATAACCAAATAATAATATATTTATAAATAAAAAAAAAAAAAAATATGTCTTGTGATACAATTGAACTCGAAGAAATAAACGAAAATTCAATATAATATAAACCATGGGGCAAATTAATTTCATTAAACTAATCTCTCTGTGAGGATTATTATTTATCAGGTCCTGAAATAACTATAGGAAGATCTGATTCATGCTAAATATAAATAAAAGGTTTTTAAAAAATTTCATTAGTACACTGTAAATTAATATATACATTACAAAAGAAGCTAAACATAGAAGATTTATCTACAAATGGTACATTTGTTAATGATAAATAAATTGGAAAAGGAAATATATACCAAGATCTAAAAAGTGGAGAAGTTTTATATCTTTTACATAAAAATAAAGTAGGTTAGAAATAATGCTTAGGATTTATATTTATGAAAAATGAATAAAATGATGACAATAATTAAGTAAATATAATATAAAATTTAATAAAAATAAAAAAACAAATATAGAACGAAAAATTATAAAAATATAACGAAATATAAGATATAGAAAAACTAAAATGTGGAATTTGTTAAAATATACTTTTTTAATGCATAACTGTGAATCCTTGTCTGCACAATTTTTGCGGAGGATGTATTTCTGAATTAATAATAAAAGAGGACTAATGCCCTTAATGTAAAAATCAAATGACATTTTTAAAAAAAAATATAATCATTAATTAATAAATAAAAAACTATTTGGAATAAAATCCACAAAAAAAACGACCAAATCATGAATATTAAGAATTGAATACTAAAAATAAAATTAATATAGAAACTTTAACAATTAATTAAATTAAAAAAATTGTTTCCTTAAATAAAGTTAATAATAAAATCTAAACAAATAACTATAATTAAAATCAAAACGAAGATGAAACATTTTCAAATTATTCATATTTAAGTGAAGATAATTAAATCTTGTAATAGTAATATAAATATATATATAAAAATTATATTTTATGAAAACAAAACAAAAAACAAAGGGTCAATCCAAAAGATTGTATAGAATGTTTTAAAATGAATAATAATGGATTTTAATGCGGAAAAGATCAATAACATTAATATTGCTATTCTTGTGATAGAATATTTCCTTAAAGAGATGATTTAGAAAATTAAAAATGTTATTTGTGCAAAAAACCATTTTGTGGTTTATACTTAGGTTCTTGTGTTGGAAAAAATATTAATTTATTTTAATTAAAAGATGCAAATATTCCTGAAAATATAATGGATGATGTTTTTAAAGGAAATTTAGTTGAATATAATATATTATAAGAACATATAAAATAAAATAAATATTCAACAAAAGAAATTTTCTAAATATAATTCATATAAAAATAGTCATTTTCATATTAAATATCAAATAAAATATCAAATTACGTTGGAGATAAAAAAGAAATAAAAATTTATCCAGAAACAGCTTTATGTACAGAATGTTTTCCACTATTATGGAATTAAATCATATTTAGATACTTAGAAAATATAAAACAAAAATAGCAATATAAAAAACCTAACTGCTATTGGGGAATAAATTGTAGAACAATGAAAAATAATAAAGATCATGCAGAAAAATACAATCATATATGTGAATAAAAACGTTTTTGAGATTAAAAATATATATGGAAATATATATATATATATAAATATAAAAAAATTTATATATATATATATAATATATATAATATTATATTTTCATATTTATATATTATTTCTTTTATTTATAATATTTCTTTATTAATTATAATACTATTTTTTTATATTGTTTTTTCTTTTTTTATTTTTATTTATATAAAATTTATTTTACTTATAAATATAATATATACTATATATTTTTATTTAAATATAATTTTATATTTTAAAATTAAATATAATATAATTAAATTTATTTTATATGTTAGATACAATTTTTTTTTTATTATATAATCACGAAAAATAATATATACTTATTGTTTATTATTTTTTATTTTTTTTTAAAATATATATATAAAATTATTTTTTCTTTATAAAATATATAATATATTCATATTAACTTCATTATATTCTATTATTTTTATTCGTTTAAAAATTTTTATTTAATTTTAGGAAATTAAAATTATGAGAAATTAATAACTAAAATAAGATATTTACACTTTTACTAAATTTATTTGAAATATATATAAAAATAAAAATAAAAATATCATATACAATTAAAATTAAAATTATTTTTTATATTACAAGAAAGGTAAAATAATTAAATATTTTAATATAAATATATATTTTTACAATAAATTTTTTTTTAATTCATCATTTAAAATTAAAAAGAAATACACTATGTTAATATTATATATTTTTTTTAATATATATTTAAAATATTTTTTTATAAATTAAAAAATATTATATATAATAATTATTATAATCAATGCTTAAATATAAATATTTTAAACCTACATAATCTAAGAGTATTTAATAATAATAATAATTTTTATAATCTAAGATTATGTTTTTATATAATTAAATTATTTAAGTAAACAAATTTTAATTATTTATTAAACCTTAAAAATTATTTGATAAATATTAAAGATAATTGAAATTATTAATATTCCGTTTTTTAAAAAAATATCGTTTTTTAAATTTCATTTTTTTAAAGAAAAAAAAATAACATTTTTTTTTACTTATGAAGTTAAAAAAAATCATTTTAAAATTAAAAAAAAATAATAAGCAAAAAAAAAATTATGAATAAAAAATTATATAAATAATTTTCTTTGTAACACTAATATTTTCCAAAATAAATTGTTTTTTGCAAGCAGATTAAATAGTCCAAGAGCTCTAAAAATGGTATAATCCCTTGGTTAAGAACAAATAAAACATTAAGATTAATGGAATAAATAAGACTAGAATGCTTATAAGAATTTTTATTCCGTAATAAAGAAGTTTCAGATGCTGAAGAATCATTAAAAAATGCTTAAATTCATTAATCTTAATGCAATTTATCTTTGTTAAATTCTAAAAAAGATTTAAATTAAGTATAGAGATATATTGAAGAAGTTTAATTAATTGTTGAAAAATTAACCATCTAAAGATAAAAAGAACATGATTATTATAACGAATTGGTAAACAATTAATTATTTCCAGCAATTAATGCTGTATAAGGAGTATATCCACTCATTGAATCGTTAAAATAAGACTAAAGTTCATTTGCATAAATGCCTTAGCATTTAAATAAGTTATTTAAAGTTCTTCTTTAAGCAAATTAAGTACCTAAAATGGCTCCTTTATTGTCTGCATTTGCATCTCTGAATCAAAAAGAGAATTTTAATTAAGTTTTGAATTAATTAGAAGTTCTTTTCTAAAATTTAGAAAAAGATTTGAATTAAGCATTGTCTGATGCTATTTCTGTAGAGTTAGAAAGAAAATAAGCTTACGAATCTATCAAAACTTAATATAGTAAATTTAGAGAATAATTAGTTGATGAATAAAACCATTTAGAATAATATATTGAAATTATGTAATCTTGTGTTTAAAAAGAATAAGAAATAATTGATTAAGCTGCTGAAAAAATAAGTCATAATAAGAATGCTTTAGAACACGCTGCAAATATGTGTATTTCATTTGAAAAAAGTTTCTAATCGGCCACTTAAGGTAGAAATGAAGAAATCGATATTTTATTAAAACTTGAAGCTTTTGTTTTGTAATAAGCTGATGTATTCGGACAATATATTGGAGATGACTTTTAAGAAAGTAATTTAAGAAAAAATTTTGAAGACAAAATGTTGAGAAATTTACATGAATTTATTGAAAAAAAAATGAAAAATAGTAATCTTTTGTAGAAAAAGGATATTAAAAAGTGTAAAGACTGCAAAAGATCTTTTGTTTAAAAAAAACTTGGATTTTGATGATTTTTCTTGAAGTTTTTTTTTTTTTTCTTCCTTTTCTCAAAGTTTAAAATTTTTAAAGGGAGTAAAAATTTATTTATGATTATTTTATTTTTTTGAATATGAATAAATCAAAAACCAAAATATTTTTTATTATATAGTTTTTTATTTTTTACTTTATTAAAAATTCAATTAATAGAAATATTTATTTATTTAAAAAATGATTTATTTTTGTTAACAAAATTATAAAAAAAATTAATTAAAATAAAATGTTAAAAATTACACTTAAATAATTTTATTTAATAAGTCTTTTAGTTTTTTTATCTAGATAAGATTCAAATATCTGCAAATGGACTGATTTAAATAATAATGTTTTTGACCTTTCTCCCTTAAGAAAATCAGATAAGTAAAACAACATATCAAAAATAGATAAAAAAATTAAATAAAAATAGATATGTAGTATCAGATGAAACATCTGGATTAGGATCATTTGAATTAATATACGTATTAAATATTTGTTAACCAGTAAAATGTAAGCAATAAGATGCAGCAGTTTATGAAGGATTAAAAGTATTAGACTAAATAATTGAAGATTGTGATATAATTGCATACTAATAAAACGCGATTTTTTCCCATATTGATAACGATCCTCATAAAGGTGTTTCGTTATTATTTTAAGGAGATACCTGTGCCTTAGCCCCTTCAATAAAATATGATGAAAATAATAATTTAGTGGCTACATAACCTAAATAATCTGATTAGAAAAAAAAGGCTATTATAAATATTGAATGCAGCACTGTAGAAGAACCTAATTTTAGGATTGATTCTTCTGATTAGTGTAATCTTTAATTTTTTATTAAAAGCCCTTATGGATGTATTGGAGGAGCTTCTGGTTAATTAAAATATTTTAAAATACTAATAGTTTTAGCTTTACTTTTTGCTGGGTATATATTTTTAGGATCTTATATTAATAAAAGTAAATATGGACTTACTGGAAGTGAAGCATTTCCTAATTTCCTTTTTTGGTAAGACTTCCCTTATTTAGTAAATGATGGAGTCAAATTTAGTATTTTTTAAGCAACTGCAGGTTTGAGAATAGTAAAAGAAAAATTCGGAGGTTATAAAGATAGAGGAATTTAAGCAGGATATAATACTATTTGATAAAATAATTATATATACATATATGCTTGTTTATTTTTATTTATTTTTAAATTTATTTAATTAATCAAATGATTTATTTTTACTTTTATTTATTAATTAAATAAGTTTTATTTTTATTTTAAGAATAAGTAAATGAATAAATTAAAAGATAATTCATAAAAATTAGTTGTTTTTAATAAAATTGAAGATTTATATTTAGAACTCGTTAATAATGCAGTTTTTTTTCCTTAAATCTAAAAAAAGGAACATGATAGAAATCAACCAGAAATGTTTCATTCTAATTTGCCTAATATAAGTGATATAATAAATTCTAAAAAAAAGTAATTAAAAAAAATACAAAAACCTGAATAAAATACAAAAATAAAAAAAAAGAGTTGTCCCTGATAATATAAAATAAACATTAATATAAATTACAGATTATGCAAGATAATTAGAAGTAAAAAAAAATAATTTCATTGATAATAAAAAAAAAAAATGATAGAATTTAATAAGATTAAAAAACAAAGAAATCGAAAGACTTTAATTTTTAAATAATTATTTTACAATTACTTCTCAAAAAAAAGATGAAATACTGGAATTTGAACGAAAAGAATTAACTAAAACAAAAGAACTACTTTTAAAATACGAAGCATTACATAAAAAAGATATAAATAATTAAAAAAAACCAAATTTTATATAATCATTAGCTTAATCATAATTTTTTGTAATATAAAACAATTAATTAATTAAAAAAATATTTTAATATTAAGGCTTCGATAAGTTAATTATAAGAGAGTCCTTTAAATAATTAAGATGATAAAAAAAGTGAAGTTGCTAGATCTCCAACTATTAGTAATTCTTCTTTATAAACTAAATTTTTAAAGAATTTGTAAATTAAATAAAAACCTTAACTTTTATAATTAAACTAAATTTAACCTTTATCTACATTTTTATCTGGTGAAAATTAATCTGAAACATTAAAAACTTATTCAATTATAAATCCAAATCTAAGTAAATATATATTATTAATACTTTTTGTAAAATATAAATTTTTAAAAAAAGATGATGAAGAAACATTAGAAATATATAATTAGAACGAAAATTTAATTTTCATATAATAATTAATCAAGAATGAAGAAAAGTTTGTAGATTTTATGTAAAAAATACAAGAAAACACCCTATTATTAGTAAATGATAAAATAAAGAAGTTTATAAATGATTCAAGCATATTTTTCTAGTTATTAATAAAATTAAAAAAACTAATAAATTCAATTTTCCGTCTTTCCTCATCTCTAGTTTTAAATGATGCTCTAGAAAATATTGTTGATGAAACTTGCTTAATTATGGATTGTGACAGATGTACTGTTTTTATTGCTGATGAATAAAAAAATGAATTATGGTCTAAAGTTGCTAAAGGTGTTAATACTATTATTAGAATGCCTATTGATTAGGGAATTGCTGGACATGTTATTTAAAATAAATAGATTTTGAATATTCCTAATGCATAAGCAGATTAAAGATTTAATCCTGATTTTGATAAAAAAATGTAGTATAAAAGTAAAAATATTTTATGTGCTCCAATTTTAGATGATACTGGAAGGGCAATAGGTTATTATATTTTAATGTTATAGAATATTTTATTTATTCTTTTTTTTTTAGGGGTTATTTAATGTATTAATAAAAATAATGGATATTTTTCTAAAGATGATGAAGGGCTTTTGAAAATTATTGCTGACTATAGTAAGATAATGCTTAATAATGCAATTAATGCAGATGAGCAACATTCAACATAAAATAAGTACCGATAAATAATGGCTGTATTAATATATATTTATATATATATATATATATATATATATATATATATATATATATATATATCTTTGTGTTAAGGTTTTTTTATTATTTAAAAAAAGACAGTTATAAAGTAAGTTTAATCTAATAATATAGAAGAATTAATAGTAAATTCATAAAAAAAACTTAAAGATATAATGAATACAAATGATGTAAGAATTATAATTAATAATTTTGATGGAACATTCTTTTATATGGATGATGATAATTAAAAAAATATAAAATAAATAAAATAAGGAATTGCAGTATTTTTTTTTTTAAATAATTTACAAAAATATAAACAAAGGGATAAGTTATAGAAAAAAAAGAAATGATTTTATGTAACAATTGTTATGCAGATAAAAATTTTAGTCAAGAAATAGATATAAATACTTCTATGCCTATAATTTGTATTCCTTTATAATTATCTAAAAATGATGAAATTTTTGGAGTTTTATAAGTAGTGAATGTTAAAGGTTTTAGTAAATTATATTAAAGCAAAAATATTCAAATTTAAGCTAATGATTATGAAATTTTAAATTATTTTGTTAGTTAATTAACTGCTTTTATTAAAGCTATATAAAAGAAAAATAATTAGAAAATAAATTGATATATAAATGATTATTAAATCATTTTATCAATATTATATAAATTAATTTAAATAATTTTAATTTATATTTAAAAATTATTTATATAATAAATTAATGCAAAATTACATTTAAAGTATATATATTTTTATTTTATATAAAATTACATATAATTAAAAAAATATAAAAATATGGAAGAAGGGGTTTTTGGATTAAGCAAAAAGTAAAAATACTATATATATTTAACTTTGTTAATGCCATGTTTATTGCCTTTTATAATAATGTAAATATATAAGGATGGATTATTTACTTTAACAATAACATAACTAGCATATTTAATATTACCATATATTTATGTGAAATATGTAAGTAAAGAAAAAGAAATTCAGATATTTTTTTTAGGAGAATTCAATAATAGATTATAATAAATAAAATATGGGATTACTTTAGCAATTACACTTTTTTTAATAATAATATTTTATTATATTCTATTATATGAATTTAAAGTAATTTAAAAATAATTATGTTTAATTTTTTTAAATAATTAAATTAAAAAAGCATAATATGTTATAAAATTTAGAAGTTCCTTTAAAAATATCTTTTTTTTATTTACTTTCTTTTAGTATTGTTTTCGTTTGTGTAAATCCTGTAATGGAAGAATTATTTTGGAGATTATTTCTTGAGAAAATGTTTAAGGATGATAAAAAATATATAGTTCATATTTTTTATACAATTTTTCATTTTATCGCTCTTTGCTAATTCATGAGTTGGACACTTTCTATTCTTTTTGCAACAACATTTTATTCTATTGCTAGAACTTTTTCTTATGTAATGCATAATAAAGGATTGCTTGCAAGTATAATTGGACATATAAGTTTAGCTTTTGGATCACTTTTTGCTATTTTAGATATATTGTATATTGAATGGGAGCATTAAATGGATGTTATTCATTAATCTTCTAGACCTTGATAAATAGATTAATTTAATTTTAATTATTAAAAATTTTGTCTTTTTTTAGTTTTATATTTTGAATTAAATAAAAATATAATAAAATTAAGAATTTAAATCTATGTAATAATGTTAGTTATTTTTTTATATAATTAAATCTTTATATTTTTTTTTTAAATAAATTTTTTTTCATAAACTTTTTGTTTTATTTATATAATTTAAAATAAAATATATAAAGAAATACTAAGTATTAAATAGATAACAAATATTGCATTAAATGAAAATAAAATTTATTTATCTCATTTTAATAACAAATAATAAAAAAAAATTTATTTAAAAAAAAAATTATTCTATTATATATATAATATATAAAAAAAAATATTGTTTTTTAAAAATAAAAAAAAAAATTTGTAGAAAAAAAAAAAATATCAATAAAGTAACTTGAAAAATAAAAATTTATTAAAAAAATAATGAACCCTCATACATTTATAGAAGAATATATGGAAAAAATCACTTATATTCCAATCTAAGTAAATCGAAATCTTCGATTAATATAAGAATTAGATTTTCGAACTGAAAAAGTAAAAAATTACTTCATGATTAATATGAAGAATATAATTCAAAAAATAAATAAAACTAAAAAAATAAAATAATACACAACATTAATAATTATTAGAAAAAATTAATAAATTATAAACTGAATATTATTATTTAAGTGAAGAAAAGTGCAAAATAGCAAAATAAATTCACTAAGAAGCATAAAATATGTTAAAATAAATAGATTGTTATACAAAAAAAGTATTAAAAAAAGATTAAACTAACAATTAAAAATAAAATGAAAAACACTCTTAAATTGTATCAGAATAATTTAAAAGAACAAAAAAGAAACTAAAAAAGTAAATAGAAAAATCAAAATAAAGAAAATAATAATATTAAATATAATAAAAATAAGAATAATAATTATAAGAATAAAAATAAGAACAATAATAGGATAAAGATAAAGAATAAGAAAAATAATATTAATATTAATATCAATAATAATAATAATAATAATAATAATAATAAAATAATAATAATTAAAGTAATTATTATTATGATAATAATAATGATGATTTATAAAGCAATTCAAATTAATAAAATAATAATAATTCTTTTATTTAAAATACTGTTAATAATAATAATTAAGGAAGTAGACATAATTTAAGGAGTTCTTAAAATTCAATTGAAATTTTAGAATTATATAACTCTTAGACACATAAGAGAAAAAATAAATCTACATTTGCCCAAAACAATGCTATAGAAACTTTTTGCATTTGCAAGGGACCTTCTGCAGGTACAATGATTATGTGTGAAATGTGTAAATAATGGTATCATTTTAAATGCTTAGGATTAAATGAAACTCCAAAGGAAAAATATTGGTATTGTTAATTTAATGAAAAATGTAAAATGGCACATAATAATTATAATTATTAACATAAAAAATCTACGTCTGTAACAAAATGAAATTAAAATATTTGTTTATATATATGAAAAAATATATAATAATAATATATATATAAAGATATATATATAAATTTTTATATATAAATATAAATATTTAAATATATTTATATATATATTTATATATATATATATTAAAAAATATATTTTTTTATATATTTATAAATATAAATATATAGAATATTACTAAAAGTATTTTATTCAATTAAATTTCTATATATAATTTATTTTTAATATTGTACTTTTTGTTGTTGTTTATACAATTATTTTAACTTCATTTAGTACATATAAATATTATATTTTTTTTCGTTAAATTGCCTTTAAATATTATAAATAAAATTTATTGTATTATATTTATAGTAATAATAAATTTAGTGTATTTATTTTATCATTTAATTATTCAGTTATCAATTTATTATAAAGTAAAACAGACATTCTTAATAAAAATATATTTGTAGATTTATATATAGTAAAAATAATTAAATTTATTAAACTATTATAAAAAAATAAGTTAAAAAAAAGAAAATGAACTGTTTTAAATGTTAAAATAAATATAATGAATACGAAAGATGCCCTCGTTTGTTAATTAGTTGTGGACATTCTCTTTGCGAATAATGTATAAAAGATATTTCAATTTAAAGCATTTTAATATGCCCAGAATGCAATTAGTTAAATATATTAATAGATTCTAGTTTTTTTCCGAAAAATTTAGCTTTATTATCAGCTCAATAAAAAAAATATTAGTAAGATTAAATATGTAGTAAGCATTAAAAATCATTTGAGGGTAATTATTATACTAAAATAAAAAAATAGTTATTTATTTATAAGAAAAGCTTTTTGTTTTAATGATAAATATCTTTGTTGTATAAATTGCATTTTATAAGAAAATCATTAAAATCATAATTTGTAATCTATTGAATAAGCAAGAATAAATTCAAATAAACAGATTGAATAAAATATATATATAAAAAATAATAATAACGGCTAATTTTATAATAAAAAATATTTTAAATTTAAGAAAATTTAAAAAATTTGAATAATAATATGGAAAGAAACATCCTAAATATAAGTTTATATTATAAAAAAATAAAAGAAATTATGGAAAACTCAGAAAAAGAGCACAAAAATTAAATTCGTTTAAATTTTTAAAATGAAGAATAAAATTTAAAAAAACAGAAAACGAAAAAATTAATTAATTGTAAAAAATAGAACTTTAAATTTCTAATTATTAATAGTTTTTGAATTTGTTAGATGATATTTTGTTTTTTTAAAACTTTCCTTTATTAATAAAAAAAGAAGAAATAGAATAATAATAAATATAAAATTAATTTTTTAGTAAGTAAAAGAATTTGATTATAGTTTAGAAACTTAGAAATTAATTTAAATCTTAAGTTTTAATTTTTAATAATAAAAAATAATTCCTTAATAAGAAATAAATTATTAAAAATAAAACAAAAATTCTATTTCGAAAATTAAAATAAGTATATTTTTTTATTTTATTAAATTAAAAAATTAAAAATAGATAACTATATTGAACTTAGAAGTTTTAAGTAAAAAAATAATACTACTCACTAAAATTCATTTGAAAAATATAAAAAAATTCCTGAAAAAGCTCACACTTAGAAAAATTTGTCAAATCTTACAAAAACAATTAAAATATAATAACCTTTAATTTTTAAATATCCTTCTATTTCACACAATAACTCGCCTAAATATTATAAATTTTCTCTTTCTAAAGCTTAATTACTATAAAATATTTCTTTAAACAACTCAACAATATAATCACATTCTCTATATATAATGGGCGGAGACAGTCGAAATCCTTTCACAGCAGTCGAAAGATGCTAAATAAACACCTAAAAATGGTTCTAATATGATTTGATACCCTTAAACCTAACTCAATTTGGCATTTTAAGTATACAAAAAACTCTACTAATAATTGGTGGGCTTTAAGACAATTAATGTTCATAACTATATACTAATATGAAATTGAAAAAAAAAAGTTTTAATAAACTCCTTAAACTTTAGAAAATCCAAAATATTCATTCCAAATTTTTTAAAGGGAAAATCTTATATATCTTTTTGGCGGAAATAATGGTTTTGAGACTTTAGACTCAATAGAAATATACGAATTAAAAAAAAGTTTTTTTCTTAATAAATAAAAAAACTTACAAATGAAAACTAAAAGAGAAGATTTTTGTTTAATTGAAGATGAAAATAATTTTATCTATATTATAGGAGGATATGATTCGATTTTAAAAAAATGCATAAATTCAGTTGAAAAATATAATCATAAGGAAGGTTATGTCGAAAATATAGGAAATTTAAAAATTAGAAGAAAAGGGTTTTTTGCTTAAAAAATTGGAAAAAATATATTTGTTATAGGAGGCTTTGATGGAAATTGTTATCTGAATAGCATCGAATATTTTAATATATAATAAGAAGATTAAGGGTGGAATTTTTTAGGATGTTCAGGAATTCCGAGGGCGTATTTTTCAGGATGGAGCTTTTAGGGGTAGATTTTTGTGTTTGGAGGTATTAATTAGGATGGAGAAGTTTCCAAAGGGGAAGTTTTTGAGTTTTAAAAAAATTAATGGAAGATTTGGGATTTACTGGATTTCAAAAGGTCTTTTTTTTAAACGATTTTGGTTTAGGATTGATATTTTTTACTTTCATTAATAAAATATATTTTTATTTAATGTATATGTTTTTTAAAAAATAAAAATTATCTTTTTTTTTATTTAATATTAATAATTGATATTATCAAATAATTTTTTTACTCTAAATAAAAAATAAAAATATTTATTTATTCATATAAGATAAAAAAATTAAAAAAAAAAGAGAAAATTACAATAAAAAACTTAACTAAAGTCCTATTAATAAATTAAATATATAAGTATTTTTTAATTTAAAAAGACAATTAACATAGAAAAAAATAAACAATAAATTTAGAATAATAAATTAAAAAATAAAAAAATAATAAAAGTATAATAAAAATAAATAATAATAATTAAAAAAAAAAAAGAATAGATACAAACACTAATATATATATATATGAATAAATAAAATTAACAAGAATCATCCAATATAAGAGTAGTTTGTAGAAATAGACCATTAAATAAATTAGAAATGGAATAAGGAGGCGAATGTTGTGTAAAAATATTAAATGATACTCAAATATAAGTTTATGTAAAAAACTAGATGAATTTTTATTTTTGTATAATAAAATAAATAAGGTCTTAGGAGAAGAAAAGCCTCATGAATTTCGTTTTGATAAAGTCTTTAATTCAGATACTAGATAAGTAGAAGTATTTTAAGATGTAGCAGAACCAATATTAAATAGTTTTTTTACTAATAAATTTAAATAATTATATTTTTTTTATTTTTTTTGTAAAAAAAAATAAAAAGGCGTTATGAAAGGTTATAATGGAACAATTTTTGCATATGGCCAGACCTCATCAGGAAAAACTCACACAATGGAAGTAATAAACATATATTTTAAATGAAACAACACATAAAATAATTGAAATTAAAAGGGAAAGTACGATGATAATGAAAATAAAGGTAAATTTAAAATTAACAAAATAAAAAAATGATAAAAAAAAATGATATAAAAAAACATAATAATTATATTATGTATTAAAAAAATTTGAATATAATAGGTTTAATACCACGTATGATGGATAGAATATTCGAAATGATTGCAGAAGCCCCAACAGAAATTGAGTTTGTATTAAAAGCATCTTTTATGGAAATTTATAATGAAAAAATAAATGATTTATTAGATAGTTTTTTTTTTTTTAAATATAAAATAAATTAATAACAAATAAAAAAATCAAAAATAAGGTTTAAAAGTAAATCTTACTATAAAAGAAGATAAATTAAGAGGTATTTTTGTACAAGATATAACAGAGGCATATGTAGTAAAACCTCAAGATATGATGAAAGTAATGAAAAAAGGTGCAGAAAATAGGTCTGTAGCTGCTACGAGAATGAATGAGAATTCTTCAAGGTCTCATTCTATATTTTTGATGACTGTTTAATAAAAAAACTAATAAACTGATACAACTAAAATAAGCAAACTGTATTTTGTGGATTTGGCTGGGTCTGAGAAAATAGCTAAAACACAAGTTTCTGGATAATAATTGGAAGAAGCTAAAAATATTAATAAAAGTTTAACATGCTTAGGAATGGTTATTAATGCGTTAACTTCAGAAAAAAAAGAACATGTTCCTTATAGAGATTCGAAACTTACTAGAATTCTTTAAGAATCTTTAGGAGGAAATTCCAGAACTACTCTTATTATTGCATGTTCTATGTGTTCTTATAATGATAAGGAAACTTTGGGAACTTTGAGATTCGGATAGAGAGCTAAAAGTATAAAAAATTAAGCAAAAATTAATGAAGAAAAAAGTGCAAAAGAACTAGTTATGTTATTATAAAAAGCTGAAATTGAACTTAAATATAAAGATGAAATCATTGCTACTTTATAGAATTAGTTAAAAGGTGATTTTAATAGTCCGGATTTTATTAATAATAGAAGTTTATAAAAATCTAGTATTTATTATATATATAATATATTTTAAATATAAATATAGTTTCGGCTGCAAGTATAAAATGTTTTGTTGATATTGTTGTTGATGAAGATTAGTAGAATAAATAATGTAATTTGATGAAAAATAATTAGAAAAATATTAATTAATAGAATCAAAATTCTTCCAGAAAAATATTAGAGTAGCATTTGGAAATTATAAAATTGAAGGAAAAAATAGAAAAATTGGAAAACGATAAACATAATATTGAAATAGAAATGGAAAATAAAGTTTCTGAATTTTAAAATATTAATGATAAATATAAAGATTTATAGGAAAACTTTTAACTTAATTAAAAAGATTATTTATAATAAATTGAATAGGCTTAGTATGATATTTATTTTTTAATTTAAAATATTTAATAATGGGATGAAATTGCAGTTGATTTGTTAAAAATTTTTCAAAGAATCGACTCTGATTTAAATTATATTGTGGTTTCTTCTGTTATTTAAGATAATAAATAAAGTAAAATATTTTATTTTTTTAATTAATTTAAAAAATAAAAAAAAGGCTAAAATTAAATCTTATTTTCTATAAAAAAAACTTTGTAAATAATATAAACGGCTTAAGAATATATTATTTAAATGTAAAAAATATTCTAAAAAGAATAATTAGAATTTGATAAAATAAATAACAGTTAATAAAAACAAATTTTAAAAAAAATGATTTCACCTTTAAAAATTATGTAGGGAAACAAATTACACTGTAAATATTTAAAAAAAATAATTAAATTAATTATAATTCTTTAAAAAAAAATAAGCTAATTCTTCAGATTTTGGAATCGAAGCTTTATCTACAGAAAGCGATGAATTACAAATAGTAGATGAGGCATTAAATTAAAACAATTCGCCTTTATAAGATTTAGCATTATAAGCAAATAATTAAAATTAAACAGAAATAATATTAGAAAGGGGAGAGAGTGAGGATGACGAGGAAATAAAATAAGAAAATTAAGACATAATTGATGCAAGTAAATTATTATAAGGTGAGACTTCAGAAATCTTAACCTATATAGTATCTTTGAAAAGATAAATAAGAAAATTATAGTTATAAAAATAAGAATTAACTATGACTGTATTTTTTCTTTATATATAAAAAAAAAATGGGATAAAAAATATTTATTTTTAGTTTAATTTTTTTTCAAGATGGAAAGTAATTAATCTTATTAAGAATGCAAAGTTTAAAAATTGAAAAGGCAAGTTCAAGAAATTAAAAAAGCTTCAAATATAAAATTAAAAGATTACGAAGAATAGAATATTATTTTAAATTAAAAATATGTAAAAAAATTATTATTTTATAAAACAAAAAAAATGATTAAAAAAGAATGATATCATAAATGAATTTAAACAAAATAAAATTGCAAATTAAAAATAAATATAAGAAAAAAATCAATAAATAACTAACTTAAAAATAGAATTTGAAAATTTAAAAAAGTAAAAAAAGAATATTAAACTTTTTTTAAAAAAAAATAAATAAAAAAGAATAATATCAAATAATTAACCAATAAATAAAATCGCTGAATTATAAGCAAAAATAAAAGAACTTGGAATCGACAGATAAAAGCTGTTTAATGAACTTTTTTAATCTAGAAAAGATTTAGATGAAAAAGATTAATAATTAAAAAATAAAACGCTATAAATATAATAAATATAAAAAACAATACAAAAAACAAACAAAACAAATAATTTAAAACAAGAAAATGAATTTACTTGTACTGAAAATACAATAGAACTTGAAAAAATAAATATTTAAGATTAAAAATTTACATCTTTAAAATCACAAATTATTCCTTCTATTCGAGGAGGTTTTAATTTAAAAAAAATAAAAAATATAGTAATAAATAATTTATGAAAAAAAAAAAAAAAAAAAGGAGGAGGAAAATATAAAAATTATATAAAAAATAATTAATTTTTATAAGAATTAGAGGAAATTATAGATGAAGAGGATGATAATAATTTAAAGTAAGAAATAAATTAAAATAATAATTAAAAAGTTAATTTTGTTAATAAAATTAAAATTGAAAAAATTTTTAATGAATTAGCTAGTATAAATACATAAAGTCAAGAAAAAAATAGTACAATTTTTGGAGTAGTAAAAAGTATTTTTATGTGAATAAAAAATAAATAAAAAAAAAAATTATTTAATTATTTATTTATATTTATTATTTTATTATTTTTTTTTTTATTCATATATTTTTAAATATTTGATTATATTTATATTAATCATATATTATAATATTTTTTTTATGCTTTTCTTCAATTTTTATAATTTGCATTATATGAATATATTTTTTCTGAGCATCTGTTAGCTTTTTCTACAAGCTTATTTAATCTTTCTTATAAATCATTAACCTTTTATTCAAAAACTATAGGAGTTTATCTTTTTTCTATTTTAATTTATAATAAATAAATAAATAAAAAAAAAAAACCTATAAATTTATTATAATTTTAATTTTAAGCTGTACTAAAATTAGAATTAATTTACTCTGTAATATACTTGTTAATTGAGTCTGTAACATTTTTTTTATTGTTGTTGTTTAAATGATTTTTTTCTTTAATATTAGAATTTTTTTTTGTTTAGATATTAACAACAAGATTTTATCCATTATTTTTTAAAACAATTGATTAATTACTAGAATTGATAAAATTATTATTATCTTTTATTTTTGAATTGCTTAAATAAGCTTTAGATGTGCTGCTTGAATAAGGTTATTTACTTTAACTCGAATTATTGATTTAATTATTAATTGAGCTTTCAATTTATTAGAATTCTTTAATTTGTTTTTATTCTTCAAGATCATGGAGATAGTTATTTGAATAATATAGATTAGTGTTACTGTTTTTAGGTTTTTTTTCTATAATGTTTTTCGTTTTGAAATTTTAAGAAGTTTAACTAAATTTCAGTTTTGATGATTAAATATTTCTAGAATTATTAATTTTGAGTTTTTTTTATTTGATTTTAAATTCATCTTGCTCTATTTCTTATTATATTTTCTATATTTCTTAGTTCAAATTCATTAGTGATACATTTGTTTATATATTGTTCGCTTTTTTAATTTAAGGAGACATAAATTAAGGATTATTAATATTCTTTTTGGGTGACTTCATAAAGGAATTTTATTATCTTTATTATTCTGTTTATATCCTACTGTTGTTTAGCTTCTAAATTATTCTACTTGCATTCAATATCTTTTAATTTGCTGAAAGTAGAAGACTGTTATTCATTTTCGTATTTGATTATTTCTTTTGGTTTTAAAATTTCTTCAACATGTCACATTCAATCTGTTTGTATCTTTTTTTTTTTATTTTTTTATTTATTTTTTGTATTATTTATTTTTTATTTCACCTCTCTTCATATAGTTTAGATGCTGTTTCATCATCTAACTAGCTAAATCTTATTTCTTTTCTAATTTTGGTAAATATTGGTTACTTTTTTTTTTATTTCTTGGTGTGGAATTTTTTATTTTTTTATATTTTTTGAAGAAAAGATAAAAAACCTTTAAGATATATTTTAATTGAATAGTCTTGAATCTCTTTATGCTTTTTTTTTATTTAAGATTATATATTAAATTATTATTTTTTTAAACTATTTTAAATATATATATATTTACAATTTTCGTAATTTTAAGTCATTAAATATTACTTTTATAGATTAGTCTGTTTGATTTTTTTCTTGTTATGTTTTTTTTTTTTTAAAAAAAATTAATTTTTTTTTCTTTATAATAATTATTTATTCTCTTTTAAAAATAAAATTTATTAAAAAAAAAAATAATTTTCATTTTAAAAATACAAACATGTATATATAAATATTATGTATTTATTTAAATAAAATAATAATAATATATATATATATATATAAGAAATAAAATATATTAAAATAAATATTTTTATTATTTATTTAAATAGATAATAACTAATATATTTTATACATTATATTTTTAATAAAAAGAAAATTAATCATAAAAACAATTCATCACTAACAATATTTACAATTCTATATAATTTATCTATTATATTTAAATTAATTCTGAGTATATAAAATTGCATCAATAAATTCAAAATACAAAATAAAAATTAAAAATAAAATTTTTCATAGTAAACAATTTCTTTCTATTTTAAAATAATTAATAAAAATAAACAATAAAAAAGCATATATATTATATATATATATATATATATATATATATATATATTATTACAATTATTTATTTTTAATAATCTTTTGCTAAAAAAAATTCTGCCATAATAATTCCTATATTAATAATCATACAAACATAATTTATAATAATTCCAAATTTAATATTTTAAATATTATATCTAAAACTTCCTTTTGTATAATATATAAATCCTAAAAACTATAAACAAACCAAAAAAAAAAAAGCATAGAAAACTTCTTTATGATGAAATTAAAAAATTTAATCATTGAATTTAGAGATAGTGCAAATAGTCACTAAAAAAACAATAAAAAATTAAATATAAATACTATTTTATATTATTTTCCTAATCTAAGTATGAATATAATCAGAACATTGAATAGTGAAAGCTTCACAAACTTCATCTACTGTAAAGTTAGTATTTTGACTTTACAAAGGTTTAGCAATACTATCATAAACAAATTATTTATTTAAAATATTACCATGATTTTTAATAGATAAATTAAAATAATTTAAACGAGTAGTAGACCTAATTTTTTGAATTAATAACTGAATATATTCTTATTTAAGTTTAAGAAAGGTATTAGAATTTAAGCGCAAGAATCCTTCACAATAAAATTCCAAACACTAGTCTATAGTAAGAATATCTATAGTCTCATAATCGTAATCAATTTAGACTGGTGGAGCATTTTATTCATTATCTAATTATTGTAATTAATTTTATTTTATTATTTCCAATATTCGTTAACTTAATTAATTATCTGTACTTTTCTGAGTATTTTATCCTACTGTTTATTCAATATTATTATGTTTTTTTTACATATCTATAATATTGTTATTTTTTTTATCCATTTTTATTGTTGTTGTCATATTAATTGAATTTTCTAATATTTTATTGCTATTATTTTAAATTTTATTGGTTGTTTCTTATATACCTTTTTTTTGGTTTGCTTATAGTATGTATCTGTTTTTTATATGAACTTTAGATTAATTTTATGTGCCATTTAATGACTAAGATATTTAATTTAATTATGTTCCTTACTATAAACTATTATCTAGTTAACTTTATAATACTTATCCTTTGCTTTTGCACAATGTATCATTAATAATTTATGATTGATTTATTGATTGATTTATTTTTTCTTTATTTTATAGCATAGATTATTCTTTAATATTTTTTTATGGGATTTAAAATGTACTATCATCTATTTATTTAACATATTAAGATTTTTTATTTTTGCTCATTTTCTAACAAAAAATATTATAAAGTAAGTGATTTTAATTATTTAAATAAGTAATTAGGATTATTTATTTGATTTTTTTAATATTTATAGTTTATAATTTAAAATTATTTAATTTTATTTTAATTTAAAAAAAATATATATATATTAATTTTAATTTTCTATTATTTTTATATCGAATATTATAAATTTTTAATCAATAATAAATATATATATATAAAATGAAAAAATTAAACAAATAAAATATTTAATAATTTATAATATTATAAGTTGATTTTTCAATTAGAAACAAATTAATAATATAAATGTATTTCTAATTAGTTTTATAACAACTATATAACTTAATATTTATTTACTTTTTAAAAATAAAACAAATATTTAATAAAAATCATAGTATATTAATATTATTTTATAATATATTATAATTACAAATAAAATATAAATCTTTTTTTTTACAATAAATAAAAAAATTGTGAAATAATTAATAATTTTTTCCGAATATATAATTTAAAAAATTAATCATAGAAATGAATTACGATAAATATATAAATTATTTAAACAAATAAATAATATCATATAATTCAAAAATTGATTAAAAATAATATATATAATTAAAAATTTTACTTTTATAGGACATAGAATAAGAAAAAAACAAAATAGAATTTTACTAAATAGTGTAGAAAAAATCGTAAAAAAAGTGGTTTCAAACCCAAATAGAAGCTTTGATAACAATATTTAAAAACAAAATTCTATATTAATGCAAGGAGAAAATAAATTACAAAAAATTGTCTAATAATATAATTAATACTAAAGAAATTATAATAAATTAAAAAAAAGAATATTAATTAAAATGGATGAAAAAACGAATAAAAATTTTTGTTGCTGCCTAAAATAAATCTAAATTTTTACTCTAATATTAAATAAAATTGACAATAGAAAAGAATATTTAAAGTTAAATGAAAATATAAAATTATAAATAATTAAATTAAAAAAAGAAATACAAAAATATTATATTTATTTTATTTTTTATAAAAATTTATTTTTTAATATATTTTTTGTTTATATTGATATTTTTATATAATAATTTTATCCATTTATAAAATAAATAATTAATTTTAATTAAAAAAATGTATTTTAGTTAAATAATATTAGATTATTTTTTTCTTTCTTTTCTTAAATTTATCAATACTTTAATTACATTTTTTTTCTTATTTAATTAAAAATTAGCTTATTTATAATTTAATTTTTTATTTATAAATTTCTTTTTAAAACAATAAACTATTTATTATAAAATATAAAAATTTTACAAATTATATCTAAAAAATTTATTATAATAAATATATCAAGATTTTTTATTTTTATTAAAAAAAAATATACTATGTTTTCATAAAAATCTAAACAGAAAAATTATAAAAAATCTAAATTAGATAATGAAAATAAACAAAAAAAATATAAAATGAACAATAGAAAATTAAAAAATAATTGAATAATTTCACAAATAAACTATTTAGTGAAAAACCGTAAATTTTGATTAGATTTTGAAGGATTAAAACAATAATTTTTTATTTTATGATAAAATGCAATCAAAAAAAAATCAGATAAATTATGTTAATTTTTTTAAGAAATGTATAAAGATTATAAAAACATAAAATCAAGTAATTAAATTCTTAAAATATTAAAAAATTATTAAAGAAAAATAATTAAAATATACAATTAACTAACAAAAAGAAAATAAAATTTAACTTTTCTTTTAATTTTTAAGATAATCCTATTCTTAAATTTTCTTATGGAAAATTTTTTGAAACTTCTTCTTTTTGAGTTTTTGGGAATATCATAATTACAATTATTGTTTTTTCTTTTCAAAATGTTTATATTTTTTATTTTATTAGATATTCAGTAATATAACTATTATTTAGCCTTTAATTTATTAAATTGAAATCTAAATTTATAATGATTTAATATTTTTTTAAATTTGTTATTATTAACTGATTTTATAATTATTAGGGCTTTATTTTTCATTACTTAAAAATATAAAAGAAGCAAACTGCTTTTATTTAATGAATTTAGTAATTGCTCTTATCTATATATGTTTTGGTTTTTTTCAAAAACTAAATTCTTTGCAAAAGAGTTTAAATTTAACTTTTTAGAAATAATTTTTGCAAAAGGAATAAATTATATTCAATTAAGTTCTTTTAAAAAAAATATCATACATTTATAAAATGTACCTTAAGAATATATTTGTAATATATTAATTATTTGTTTTATTCTAATTATTAATAAATTTAATTTAAATTTATTAATTAAGATTATATTTCTAATTTTTATTTATTAAAAAATTAGTTTAATTTTTATTATAATTTTTTATTATCTTATTATTAAAATATTTATAAAATTTAATTTAATCAAATAATGATTTTAAACAGTTAAGGGATAAATAAATAATGAATACGCATATAATTATTTTTTAATATATTAAACGTATTCATATAATTTATGGACAATTAATAATAAAAAGAAATATAAATGTTTTTAAAACTAATGACTATGTATATAAAAAATTTTATTAAAAAAAATAAAAATGAAATATGTTTTAAAATAAAAATAATAAATAAATAAAAAAAGTCATTTTATATTCATATATTAAGAAATCTTTTTAAATATTAATGTTTTTTTTTTAAAGTGTAAATAATATATATAAAATTTAGTAAATTTATTTCTTTCGTAATATTTTTAATTAATTTATATATGATTAAATTAAAGTTATCTATAAATATTTATTCTTATATAATAATCTAACTTTTATATATAATAAATTAAGATAATTTATCTTTGAGAATATTATAGAGATTATAAAAGCTTTTTAAAAAATACTATATTTTTTAATTTATCATTTTATATTTTATTTTTCATTTTTAAAATAAATTGGAATTTAAAAATGTTTAAAGACAATTAATTTTTTTAATTAATATTACTTTTATATTTACAATTTATTTATTTTTTATTTAAGTATTATTATCAAAAACTCTTCGGATATTTTTATCAATTACAAAAACAAAATAATTCAATTTGGAGTAGAAATATGCTTAGAATTGAATTTTCTTATTAATTTTGTTAAAATTTTAGAAAGATATAATAGATTTAAAGCAAAAAAATCAATGAAATATTCTAATCTTGTGAATAATATTATCAATAAGGCTTATAATTTTATTATTTTGATTTTTAGGTTATAATTATAATATTTTAATTTAAAATAATTATTTAATTTTGAAAAGATCAATAATTTATTTATTAAAAAACATAATAAAACAATTAATTTTAAAAATATATTGAATTTCTTATTTTAAATATTTATATAGTTTATCTTTTATTATTTTTCAAATATTTTTTTTATTTACTAATAATAAAATAAAAATAACTTATTTTTTTAATTTTTATATTATCTTTTAAAAAAACTGATTAGTGCATTAAATAGAATAATATAATTTTTTTTATTTGAAATTAATTGTTTTTTGTTAAATAGAGATTTATAATATAAATCTTATTTTATGATGTATAATGTTAAAAATTATTCGATAGATATTATCAAAGCTAATAAATATTTACCAAAAACAATTATTTCAAATATAACACAAATAAATCAATAATATAATATAATATAATTTATTTATATAATAATTTTTTATTTTTAAAAAAACTTGACAAAAAAAAAAATCTTAAAAATTTATTTAGTAAATATAAAATTTGATTTAAATAATATTTTTTTAAAAAAAAAAAATAATCATAATATATTAATTTATAAATTATAAAAAAAAAATATTTTGTTAATACTAATTAATTTATATTAAATATTGACACAATGATATCTTTTAATTTATTTTAAAAAAAGTTTTAAGTTTTTTATAATGATTTATTTTTTTCTATTTTAAAAATATTCATGTTTAAATAAATCAAATAAAATTAATAGTTTTCCTAAAAAAAAGTTCATAAGAATAATGTAGACTTTATAAACTAAATATATAATTTATATACAAAACATATATAAGTTCTTTTAAAAATAAAAAACTATATCGTATTTAATATAAAAATAAAAATGTTATTAATTTGATTTTTTATATATAAAGAAAACTAATTTTGAAAAAACTGAAATTGATAAATAAAATAATATTTTTATAAAGTGTAAAATTATAAAAACATTATTTTTTCTAAGAAATAACTGATATTTTATTTTTAAAGTATAAAAATATAAATAAATATTTTTATAAAACACAACAAAAAATTATAAAAATAAAAAATTGATAAATAAAATAAAAACTATTGAAAGTAAAATGAATAAACTATAACTTATTTTCTTAATTATATATCTGATTTTGCAAAATTTTTGTAATTGTTAAAAATAATAAGAAACCTAGAAATAAATTTTCTTAACAATTGGTGCATAAGCAAACGAAATATTAAATGCATAAAATATTCAAGAAATATCCACATATAAATAAAATGTAAAATAAAATTCTGATGACTTTGAAAAATAATAGCTTAAGATATTTAATTTAAATTGACATAAAGATACCATATAATAATTTATATAAATATAAGAAAATTTTTGTTGTTATTATATTTAAAATAAATAAAATTAAAATTCTTATTAATATATATAACAAAAAAACATTTATTAAATAAATAAAAATATATTATTATTTTTATATACAAAAAAATGATATAAATTTTTATAAAAATTATAATAAATATGCATAAAAAATCATTATTATTTTAATTAATAACACTATAAATATTTTTATCTACATTCCATTTAATCGCAAGGTCTAGAATAAGGAGTCCATTTAGGTTCAGAAGTAAAGATTCTTATAGCATGAATATAATCATTTTAATCTGTAGTGAATCTATGATATATACCTTCAGGTAAAATTATAAAATCACCTTTAAGACATTAAATTCTAATCCATTAATCATTTTAATCTCTAACATCAAAATATCCACTTCCATCTAGAATGTATCTTATTTCTTCATCAGTATGTAAATGTTCTTATTTGAATTTATCAAGCATTTCCTAATAGTTTTCACACATGTTTCCACATTTAACATAATCTCTTTAATTATATTCTCTTTTTTTACAAATTTGATCAAGCTATTCATCGTTTTCAGTTCCGTCTAACTTCCAATGCAGAACTCCGATTTTCTCTAAATCATCTTTTCCAACCCATTTATAATTTTTGAAATGCAAGCTTTTTCTAATATCTTATTCTTCACTTTTATCATCAATATGCCAAGCTCTTATTTCTTTTCCAGAACTCAATTTAGTGGGAATTTCTAAATTTAACTTTTTAATTTCTAAAGTTGCACAGAATAAATAATCTAGACATTCAGCATATATTTTTGCTTTTTGCCATGTTTCGCCCCATACATAAACTCCATGATTTCTTACCAAAACTGCATTTGATTAAGGGTAAGCCATTATAGCACTTGATAAGTTTGATGTTAATTCACATTCGTTTTAGGTATTTTCTATTATTGGTACAATTAGCCAATCTGTATTTTTGTGATTAGGAAAACCTTTTATCATTTCATGATTTTATATTTAGAATTCTGTTCCGAATATTTTTGTGACTAACATTGCGTTTAAAGAGTGAGAATGTAAAACTGCTCCTGCCCTTCTTAATTTGTAAGCTGCATTAAATAAAGGCGTACATTCTGATTATTTTAAAGGAGGATTACTTGTAGGCATTTCTATTATATTTCCGTTTATATTTATAGTAAATATATCTTCAGGTTCAACCAATTCTTTTAAACTCCTGAAGGAGCTACATATATGCAATCGTCATTTACACGAATTGATATGCCTCCTCCAGATCCGGAGCACCAGCCTTGTTAGTAGAAATTTCTAAGAAGCTTACAGATTGTTTGTTTTTACTACATATTTATTTTAAAGGAAATTTTTATTTATTTTAATTATATATCTTTAATTATTTTCTTTTTTTTTTATTAAATATTAAATATGGAAATTTATTTGAAAATTAATTTTATTTTTTTATAATTAATAAAAATTATAAATAATTTTTTATATAATTTTGTATTTCAAAAATTTGTATTTTTTCTTATATAATATAATTATTATAATATAATATTTATTTATTCATTTAATTTAATTAATTTTTTTCTTATTTCTATTTTTTTATTCGAATTTTATTCACTCTTAAAATATTTTTTTATTTAATTGGTTAAATATAAAATTAATAATAAAAATAAAATAAATAAGTATTACTTTTGATTATTAAATATATTTTGAATATTATTAATTTAAACTATTTAACTCTTTTTCTAAATATTATATATTTGATTACTATATTTTTTTTTGCTCATCTGATTATTAAATATCATACATTAAGCATTGTTTATTTTATTTTTAATTATAATAAACTTTGCTCATTAGTAAAAATATATATGTAGATAATAATATAAAATATTTATTCTTTTTTTAAAAATAATTTGAATTTTCAAAAATTAATTGAGTAATTTAATGTTTTAATTTTTATATTTCTTTAAAAGTATTCTTATTTTTTTAAAGAAATAAATCATAATGTTAAAAGAAATTTTACATAAATATAATTTTAATATTTTAAATTTTAGAAATATCCCAATTATTTTCTTACTTTATATGTTTATATTTAACTTTATGATACTCATATTTAATTTAAATAATCTTAATATTTACTTATTTATTCAAAATAAAAAAAAAAGGTCATATTTTATTTATAATATAAATATATTTAATTATCTGAATTAAATAATATATTATTAATATTTTTTATTTATAATATTAATAATATTTTATTCATTAATGTAAACTATTATTATTGATTATATAATCAAATTAGCTTATTATAATATTAAATAAATACTTTTTTTCAACAACAACAAAAAATAAACGTTTGAAAAAAAAAAAAAAAAATTTAATTTTCAAAAATTAAAAAATATATAAAAATAATTAATTATGGGTAACCATTAAAATTCTAATAAGGTTTTAGAAAATGAGGGTATATTAGAAAATTATTTTATAATTCGCAAAATATCCGATTGTAAATTTGGAGATGGTATTCTTCTTTAAAATAAATAAAATGCATAATAATGTATACTAAAAGAATATAATTCAACTGAAATAGATTTCTAGAAAACATATTAATAATTTATGGAGAAAAAAAATTAAAACATACAAACTTAATATAAATATTAAGTAAACTAGAAAAAAACATATATAAATACAAAACATATGAAAAAAAATAAAAAAAAGATATAATATAAAAAAATGAATCATAGTTATGTAGTACATTTTATAAAACATATGTATTGTATGAATATATTTAAAACAATATGCAAAAATTATATACAATACGTAAACAATCAAATCGCTAATTTACAGAATAAGAGCTATTTTGTTTTTTTGAACAATCAATATCTGCATTTGCATATTTATAATAAAATCAAATTTCACATCAAAATATAAAATTAGAAAATATTTTTTTGAGCTAATTTTAATAAATAAAAATAGCAGATCCTCAAATAATTTAATAAATAAATATATTTTCTTAAATTGCATCAAATTTAAATGAACCATTGAAAAATTGTTATTTATCTCCAATTTTAATAAATGTAAAATAAATATGATTATTATATAAATATATATTTCAAATTAATCATTAAAGGCTTTAAATCATAATAATTGGAATTCAAATGATAATGCATATAAAAGTGATGTTTTTACTTTGGGTATGAATTTCCTTTAATTGGGTATAATCGAAGATTTAAATAATATATATGTATAAAATTAAGGAATATAATTGAACTATTCTATTTTGGAGTCTAAATTAAGTAAATTAAAATAAAATTATAGTTAAAGAATTTATGAAATTATATAAACAATGACAAATAAAGAATAAAATAATAGACCAAATTTTATTTAATTAAAAATATTTATAGAAAAATTAATTTAATAATAAGATAATTATTTATAAAAAATCAATTAAATAATACTAAAAAATATAATAAAAATAAACAAAATCAAAGTCATTAACCTAAATATATAGATGAAGAAGATTAAGAAGACGAAGAAGTCGAAAATGTGGTAGAAATATAATTTGAAGAAAATCAAAATATAAAAATAAATAATATAAAAGGAATTCCGTCTAAATGTATGAAAAAGAGAATCAAGAAGAATAATAATAATTAAATTTTATATCAAAAGATATTTATATAGAAAAAACAAAACCAGATATAAATATAGATATCGATAGAGCTATAGATAACATAACAGATAGAGAAAATTAAAAAAAAAATACTAATATTGATAATTATAACGAAATGTTAAATGAATGAATATTATAAAAAAATTATTAGATATTTAAATATAATAAAAATAAAAATAATAATAATAATAATAATAATAATAATAATAATAATAATAATAATAATAATAATTCTAATAATAATTTATTTAATAGTTTAGATAATATACAAATTGTTATTGAAAAATATTAGAATGGATATTGTTATGAGGGAAAAAAAGTTAATTTTATGATATAATGTTATGGAAAATTCTATTATTAAGATGGCGGAATATATGATGGTGAATGGTACTAAAATAAAATGCATGGAAGGGGTGTACTTAAATATAGTAGTGGTAGAATCGCTTATGAGGGAAATCGGATAAATGATAAATTTGAAGGATTTGGAGTTTAATATAATGAAAATCCTTCCCTAATATAAAAACCTTTTAATTTTAAAGACTTTGATTAAGTTTAAGATTTTTGGGTTAAATAATATGGTGAATCTCTAGAAGATAAAAAAAATGGATTTGGTACTTTATTTTTATCGAATGGTGAAAAATTTTAAGGCAATTTTTTAAAGGATCATATTTATGGGCCAGGTAAATTCTTTTAAATTGATGGAAATTAAATTAATGGTGTTTGGATATATAATAAACTTTAATTATGAAAAATTAGAAATAGCTTTATTTATATTTTATTAATTAATATAAATTAATTATATAAATATACTTTAAATACAATGATTTCAATTAAAAATTAATTTTTGATTAAATTATTAATAAATATAATATTTAGTATAAAATTTAAATTGATAATTTTTATATGCATAAACTTATAAAAATAAAAAAAAAAACAAAAAAGAATTAATATTAGGAAAATAATATTATATAATGTAATTATAAATATAATTATAATAATAAATATATATTTATATAAATATATATAAACATTAATATATATATATATATATATATATATATATTTTCTTTCTAGCTAACTATTTATTTTCTAAATTCTTCTTTATTTTTTATCATATATTTTTATATATCATTTTATTTAAACTTACTCTTCTATTTTTTTTTTATTTTTTTTTTGAAACTGTAAATTTTTTTTTTTTATTATTATCCTCTAATATTTTTATTTTTATTTTTTTTAAATTATGTCTAAAATATATAAATCACTATCAGTTTTTTAACTAAAATAAAAATTCTTTAATTTACTTTAAGCATAATATGAGAATATATTTATATTCTTTTTTAATTTAACTTTTAAACAATTCAAATTATATAATTTTAAAACCCAAGCATCTTTAATTACAATTTCTTTATTTTTATCTGTCCTTCAAATAAAAATTAAAAAACTATTTATGTAAAAAATATATATTTAAGTATTTTAATATCTTCATAGATAATAATTTCCTAATCAGGTATTATTAAATATAAAATAAAATTATTTAATGTATGGAGAAATATTAATTTAATGTAAAATAAAAATATTAAAAAAATAAATGAAAATAATATTCGTGAATTTAATATATTTAATAAATAAAATAATCTCTTTACATTACAAAAAGAGTTAAATAATACTTATATACATTAAATAAAAAAAATAATAATTATTAAATACTTATTAAAATAAATAAAAATTTATTATTTTTTTATTTAATTATTCTATACAAAATCCTTATTTTTTACATTAAACAAAAATAAAATGAATTAATAAATACATCAAAATAATTTATAAAAATAAGAATCTGATAAGTTCTAACCTAAAACTTCTTTTTTTAGTAAAATAAAAGAAGAGCCTTAAAATATAAATAAAGTAGCTTAAACTCATTCCAAACAGTCTGAAAATTGTTCAAGTTCTCATGCAAGTACAAATTCATTTTAAAGCAAATAAAGAAAAAATTAGTAAAATATTAATAATATATGAATTTTTTTAAATAATATATTTAATTTAATTTTTTAAAATATAAATAGAAATTCTAAAACTGGAAGATGGGTAAAAGAAGAGCATCTCCGATTTATAGAAGGACTTAGCTTATATGGAAAAAATTGGAAAAAAGTAGAAGAACATGTAGGTACTAGATCTGGATCTCAAATACGTTCTCACGCTCAAAAAATTTTTACTAAGCTTTAAAAAGATTAAAATAAAAAATTAAAATTTGATTTGAATAATTAGAGTTTTAAAAAATAAGAAATTTATATTGACGAAGAAAAAAATATTTAATAATATATAAGAGAATAGACAGAAAGTGATGTTATAATAAGTATGGGTAATAAATTTTGTATTTTATTATTTTAAAATAAAATAAAAGATTTATTTTCTGAAGAATTCTAAGAATATAATAACAATTCATAATTTAAAAACATTAATTCAAATAAAAAATCAAATGGTATTTTTATTTTTTTATTTAATTATTTTTAAAAATATAGATTTAAAAAAATGGATTTAATACTATTAACTTCTTTATAATAATTACTTATAAAATTATGAAAAATAAAGTATATTTTTTAAATACATATATATATATTATTTATAAAAATTAAAAAGATTAATTATAGAATAATAATTCTATATTTTATATAGTAGAATAAATATAAAAAATAAAAATAAACATCTAGATGCTTTCTGCTTATGAAAGTTTAAATATTGGAATGGAGCAAAACTCATAATAAAAAACTCCTTTTATTTAAGAGCCTGTAAAAAATTTACCCTTACTTCGTAATAATTTTTTTAAAAAATAAAAGAATTCGGAAAAATGCCAAAAAAATATTAATAAATAATCTGATTCTTTCTTTCGTTTTTTTATGTAAAAATAAAATGTATTTTTTTTAAAATAAAAATATTTTTGTTTTTTAAAAAGTAAAAATTTTAATAAATAAATGATTAATAATGATAAAAATATTAAGATTAAACTATATGATTTAGTAGATATGGGAACTTTTGATAATTATAATACGAATAATGAATTCAAACTTATAAATATGGATATATAAAATTTACCAGAAATAAATACCTAATAATAACTTAATTAATTAAATTAAAAAATAAGAAAACAAAATTCTTTTTCATGTTATAAGTCATAAATTTATGATTAATAATAATAAAATAATTTAATAAATATGAATTTTTATTAAAATTAATAATAAAAAATTTTTAATTTTCGAAAAAAACTTAAATTATCAGAAAATATAAACCCAATAATAGCCAATAATATTTAATGAAAATTTAAAATTTAATTCTAATAAATTTATATGAATAATTTATATTAAATTATTTAAAATTTATATAAAAATATATATTTTTCCTCTATATTATTATTTATATAATTTCTTATTTTATGTAAATTTAATTCTTATATTAAAAAATTTTAATTTTAATTTTTTTTTCTTTTTTTAAAATTAATTTATTTAATATTTAAAACTAAATAATTTATTTAAAGCTTCTAAATAAAAAAATAAAAACATTTTATATGTAATTTATTTTATTAAAAAATAAGTAAATAATAAATCTTCTTTTTGAATTCAAAACATTAAATGATCTAAGTTCTCAATTAGCTATTCAATTTCGAAAATAGAAGGTTTAGGAATAATAGACATTCCATTAAGAATATCATTTACTTAAATATGATTCATTTTTTGCAATTTAAATATAATATCGCCATCGATAAAAGTGCTTTTTTCTTATTTAGATATAGGAACATTCTAAAAAAATAAAAATATTAAAAAAAAAATAAAAAAAATAATATCTTACTTTAACTTATTTCCATTTAAAATAACTAAAATTAAGAGGACATTTAAGTTTTAATAGGATAGATTCTTATAAATCATATAAGACATTAAAAGTCTATTCATTTAAAGACATAATTATACCTACGACTCCTTTTTTAGTACCAAAAATAATTTAATTAAGTGAATCCTTAGTAATATATTTATCATTTATTTATTTGGTATTAACTTTTCTTTTAATCGAAGTAGTAATAGTATCTCCAATATTAATATAGGCAAGGACTGCAAGTTTAATTTTTTCTAAATCATTTTCAGCAAATTCATTATATCTAACAATAAAAATATTACCATTACTATCAGAAAAGAAGATATTGTCATTACCAAGAAATTTAGTATTAGTGCAAAAAACAGGAAAAGGAGAAGAACAAACAGCAATCGCTTTTTTTTCTTTTTTAGAACATTCGAAAAGGTAAACCCCTCTCGTAGAATCAGCTATTACGACTTAATTTTTTTCATTAGAATCTAATCCTAGGGCAATAATTGGATTAGATGATTAAGAAATAATTTCAGTAATTATTTTTTAATTGAAATTATTTTCGTTTCTTTCTGTGTTAATTTGATATATTTTAAAACTCTCGTTTCCTATAATTACACATATTTCATTTTAACCAAATTAAGCTATATGATGTATTGGTACTGAAAATTAGAAAGTTTAAAGGTAAATGAATTTTCCTTCATTATCTATTTTATAAACACTTAAAAAACCTTCTTTGTTATTTTAGTTTTTAAGATTTTCTCCTCCAATAAAAACTAAAGAATTTAATAATAGAAGTGTGTTTATACATACGTTTTCAATGGTTTTAAAATCTAATAAATCATGGTTTTTTATTGAATGTAAAAATATTGAAGATATAATTTATTATTCTTCTTATTCTTCTTTTTCGATTATACTTACTGATACACAATAGTTTTGACAAATATCAACAAGTTCAGTTTAGGATTATTAGTCGTTTTATTATAATTTATTGTTTCCGAAATTCGTTATGTGATATTTTTAGTTCAATTCTACACATCCTATACCTAAGTAATTTTTACTAAACCAAATTAGATATTCGACACCAGCAATATCAAATTAATCTATGTGGTTAATGTTTTAGATATTAAAATATGTCTTTTCGTATCTTTCGTATGATCCTACGATTTTCTTTAGGTTTAAAACTGATACTTCGTTTGATATACAGGCTATTATTAATAAGTAAAAATTTTATATATATATATATATAAATAAATACATATATATATATATATATATATATATATATATATATATATATATATATATATATTTTACCAATTTATTATGTATTATTAGATGTTAAAAATTTAAGTTTTACTGGTTTGTAACCTATAATCATAATTTTTTATTGTTTAATGATTAAATTATTATTCTCGATTTCAAAATAAAAAAGTATTAAAGTTCCATCTGAAAATCCTGCAAAAAGTTTATTTTCTTCATGAAAAAGAAGGCTTTTTACAATTTTAGAATTTCCAAACGAATTTATATAATATTTTTTTTGTGTATTTTTTATTTCTATAATTGTAATATTATTTTAAATCCATTCCGAATATACAATATATTAATCATTAGCACTTAAAGCAGAAAGACAATAGTTATGTTAAATTTAGAAACCTTGATTACATATAATATTTTTAGATTCATTAATTGAAAAAGATTGTATAGTATTATTTACTAAACTTACAATTATTTCATTCTGGGAAGGTATATTAGTTGCAAAAACTGCTATTTAGTTTAGAGAAAAAGTTGAAATTATTTAAAAATTTTAAAAATTAAATAAAAGAAGTTCACTAATAGTTACTATAAAAGCTATATTATCATTTATTTTTTAAAATTAAAAAGCCGCCAAAATATGTCCTTTAGAAAAAGTATGAAGATTAGAAAATAATCCTTAGTTTTTATTTAAGAAAAGAACTTAGAAATAAGTTTTAAATGAAATAAGTAGATAATTCTTGAATAAAATTTATGCAAATTTAACAGGTTATGAGAATTTAAAATCAGCTTTACAAGTTAAATTAATACCTTTTTAGAAAATGTTCAAAGAATTTCTTTTAAAAGGAGAAGTTATTACTAATCTTTAATTGAATTCACTTTCTAATAATTGCATATGAAAAATAGACGATAAATTAGGCAATTAAACTTTATTTTCTAAATATGAATTTTCAAATAAATGATTATTTATTTTAAAAACTTAGCAATCATCATCAATACTGGCTTTTTAAAATATTTGATATATTTAATAAATATAAATTATATATATATTATTACAAATCAATATATGATTATTTTATAAATTTATAATTTTTTATGGAGTTGATATTTTTCCTAGAAACTTAACTTCAATTTTATCATCTATAAAATTTATTAAAAAAAGAGAAGAAGAATATTAATTATCTTAACAAGCAATAAAGTATAAATAATCCTTAATATGGCAATGATTAGTAATACTTTTATCAAAATTTCCTATTTTTTATGCGACTTTACTTTTATCAGAAAAACAGTTCCATTTTTCAATTTTATTTTCGTAAAAAATTAAAACTGAACCATCTTCATCATCTAATTAAAACGCATATTTTATCTCTTCTTAACTTTCTATTAAAATATGACTTTTTTTTCTCTAATTTGATAGTCTGCATTCATTTTCGATTTCAAATTGTTCATAATAAAATAAATCTTCGGTTTAGTTGGTATAAAAAATCCCCAAAACTTCATTATTTTCTGCCTTTAGGCTTATTATACTTGTTATATTCTCAATTTATATAGGCTTTTTTATAATTATTTAATGATGTTCGATTAATCTGCCTTCTCTTTCTTCGTAACAAATTCCACTTATATATTTATAAAACGCATATATTCCAATTATACCTTTTGAAGAATTTATGTCTTTCTTATTTGTTCGTTGGGAATGGAAAAAAATGTAAATTTCGTTGTTTTTTTCTTACTCATTATCCTCTAATTGCCCTTAGACTAAAATTTCGACTTCTCCCTGTAATGAAATTCTGAAAAAACGATATTAAAGATCTGTTGTGAGAATAAAAATAATATCCGGGGAAGATTATGTAGATGATTTAATCAAAAAGAGTTTAAGAATATCCGCAAATAAATATATTTGGGTAATATTTTCTATATATTCTTTTTTTTGGTCATTTATGCGATAAATATCGATTGTATTTGAATATGAAAATATTAATACTTTTTCTTCTGGCGTATTTTATGTTAGAGTCGATGAAAGTTGGGCTAAATATACATCTTCCACATTAAAAGATTTATAAATATTTTATATTATATTATGTGATTTCATATTTTTTATTTTAATTAAAATATAAGAAATTTTAATAGATATTTTTTTTTTTTTTTTAATAAAATTATATTGACTTTTTAAATACTTATATAATTTATATATATATATATATTTTATATTTTTTTCCTCATAATTATTAATTTGATTCTATCTTTATCTATTCTGCTTAAACGCTATTTTTTCTAAAAATGTTTCTAATCTTATATAAGTAAACAACTAAAATAATCAAAATAATAGCCAAAAGTATCCAAAAACTTATTTACCAAAAAATACTTTATTTATCTTGAGGCAGACATTAATCATCACAATAAGAGCTATAATCTTCCTATATATATTCTGTTAATAATGCCTTAAAATCATTGTAAACGCATGTATCTTATCCGTTGCAAATATTAATATATTTCCCGTTAAATTTAACTTTAACATAATGCTATTTATCTTAATCATCCTCATATAATTCGAAAACAAAATTAGAAGCAAATATAGGCATTAATTGGCAAGTTTCAGATTCTTATTATAAATTATAAGATAAAAGGCATTCATTACTCATTAATTTGAAAACAGCCATTAAAGGTTGTAGTTATGTATCATGAGTTGATGCTATAGTTATTTTATAAGTATTCTAATTGTTTATTTTCGATTCAAATTATTTTAAAAGGAATCTAAAATATGGAGTTAAAATTAACTTAGTTTATAAAGGAGTGAAATATATAATAGCTTTATATAAAGTTTTTATATAATTTAAGAGTTTATATTCTTCTAAGGTTATATTATAGGTAATACCCAAGTATCTTTAAGACGTAACCCAGTCTATAAAAGCCGAAACGTTTGAAACATTTAAAGTATAATTTATGTTTACTTTTGCACCTATTTCTTGCACTTATTTTTCAAATTATTTGTAAAATTCTTCTAATTTTCCCGTGTTTTCTTTAACACTTTCAGCTTTGAGTTTTGCTTTTGAAGGTTTACATATAAATTAAAGAATACTATCTTTTTTTTTGTTTAAATAATTATTATTTTAAAATTAAAATTAAAAAAATAATATAAATAAATACGATTATCAGTATCTTATTATATCACGTAAGGATAAAAGCCCTCTGGTAAAGCAAATTTCAAATTATTATCGTAAATAAAATTACCTGTTTTTTATTAACGTTATTATTATACATATTAATAATATGGAGCTTATTATAAATCAGCATCTAAATTATCAGGTATAGCTAAGCCAGTTCTAAGAGGATATAAACCAAATAAGAAACTTTATAAACTTTACAATGTTCTATTTACATTAGAAGAAAATGCAAATACACTATCAAATTCATATTTGTCTGATAGTAATTATTTTTCAACAATATATTCTTAACGCATAAGATTGCCTAAATTATAGTGTTAAAGCATGCCAACGGATGTTAATTATCCTCGTTTTTATTTATTAAATTTATATTCAGGTTTATCTTTTATTACTTAAGGATTATTTGCATATCTTGCTCCGTGACGAATAGCCATTTAAATCATTTTAAGATTTCTAGCAGAAAAAGCTTCATTTATTAATATTATGAAAAATAAAAATTTATTATAAAATGACATTTTATATATTTTTTATTTATTAATATGATATATAATTAATATTTTATATATTATATTATGATTTATATTTTTTATTTTTTTAATATTTAAAACAAAAATAGGGTTATATTAATTTATAAAAAAAGCAAATAATTAAATTTTGACCATAAAAAAAATATATAATTTTAGCCATAAAAATAAATTTAATTTTAGTTTTTATTTTTAAAATTGGTTTTTTTAAAAAATTATTGGCTTTTTTATTTATTTTCATAATAAAAATTCAATGTCTTAAATGTTTTTTTTTTATTATATTTGAATTCCTTTAAATTTTTCTTCATAAAAAAGGCCCAAAAATACGCATTTTTTTTCCAAACAAGTCCTAATTCCTAAAAAACCTTCATTTATTTAAATATCAGTGATAGTATTTACTGTATAATTATTAGGCAAAAAAGACTAAAGATATCCTTAATTATTAAAAACACACATAATAGGTAAAAAAGATGTATTATTTTTAGAATTAAGTGAAAATATAAAAAATGAATTTAAATTTAAAAATTCGAATTTATATCTTTAACTTTCGCATTGAATTCTTTCTTTTTATTTATATATGTTTCCTACTGGAATTATTATATTTAAAAAATTCTACCAAAAATCTACTTTTAAATATTAAGGGGTTTAAATAATGCTTATATTTTTACAAAAATTCCTATATTCAATTTAAAAGCGGGAATATTTTATTTCAAAAGCTTTTTTTTTAATTATTTATAATTAATTTTCCTAATAATCTTTCCTTAAAACATAATCGTCTACCTATATAAATTTTTAATGCATTTTTTCTAAAAAAGGACGTTCTAGTTCTTAAGGAAAAATAGCTATTTTTTCTATTATGTCATGGTAATATATTATATTGTTATTTATATCATATAAGAAGGTTTTTAAAGGAAAGTTAAGAGATTTATATATGAAAAAAAGGGGCTAGTTTACTGAAAGAGTTATTGATGAGTTTTATTTAATAATTTAACAAAAGCCTTTTTTGAAGAAAGAAAATTAACAATATAAATTATTTTCTAAAAAAATAATTTTCCCTTTATTTGAAAAAAAAAATTATTTTGGTTATTTTTAATTAAAAAAGGGAAAATTTTAATTATTTTTTTATCTTTTTTTTTAAAAAAAATCTAAGTTTTTTTTAAAAAAAACTACGATTTCACTTATTGAATTTATTTCATTTAAAAAACATTTTTTTATCAAATTTTAAATTTCACAATAAAAATCAGTTTTTTTACTTGCCTTTTTTTCTTCTAAAAATACACACTCCATTATATTCGCCAATTCAAAAATATCTTCTTAAAATCCCATTTTTCGTACATCTTTAGTACGTTGATTCCATGAGTTTCCTTTTATCAAAATTCCATCACGAATTTGCATACAATCTTTTAAATTACCAATTATTGGGTCGAAAAAGTAATTTATATATATGTTTTCTGTACTTAAACTTGTATGAATTATACCTTTAGAGTGCATTTCTTCTAAGGCTAGGCCTATTTTATAGACTAATGATATTTTTTCGACAAAAGAAAGCTTTTAAAGTGATAAAAGAGTAGTTAAATTAAATAAAAAAGGTTATTAAATTAATTAAATAAATTATTATTCATCTTCTTATTATTCGGGGATAATAATAAGTATTGGCTTAATTATATATTTAGAATTTAAAAGGGAAGAAATACGTATTTCCTTTAAAAAAAGTTCTAATTAATGACAAGTAGCAATTTAGAAATGAAAAAGATTAAAAATTTATTAAGTAGATATATGAAGAATTTTATCAACATTTTTTTAATTTGAAAGTTGAAAAGATTCCAAAAAAACAAATTTTTCAATATTTTAAAAAGAGAAAAATGATAAATTTTTAAATAGCAAATTTTAAAAAAAACTTTTGTCAGAAAAAATTTCTTTAATTTCATATTTATGATCAAAACTTAAAAAATCGCTTTAGATTTATTTAATTTCTAAATTGTTTTATATAAATAAATTATTTTTCTCTTAAAGTTATTAAATATTTTATTTTCTTTCAATTTACAATTCTTAAGAATATTCATTAAAATTTATTTAGAATACTTTTTACATTATTTCATTAGATATTTAACTTAAATCAAATAATCTTTTTTAAAATTTTATTATATTATAATTAGTACTATTATTATTACTATTATTATTATTATTATTATTATTATTATTATTATTTTCATATTTTTTAATATTTTTATCATTTATATTAAATTATTCTTCTATTTTTCTAAATATTTCGTCATAATAATTATTGTTTTTTTATTTTTATTATATTTAATCTTCAAATTATATCTATTCTTCATAATTGATGTCTTTTTAAGACCTTTTATATATAATATATTTCTGTTCTTTGTTAATTATATTTATTTATATATATTAAGTTTATATATCTTCTTTCCATTTTTTTTTTTATAATTGTTATATTTCTTCATTTTAAATTTATGTTAATGATGGTAAAGTTTTTTAATATTATCTATTAGATAGCTGTATCTTATTATCTTATAAAAATAATACACGTTTTTAAATTATACTTTTAGAACGATAATATGACATTATTATTTATATTATAAAATTAATAATAATATTTATATATATATATATATATATATAAAATTATATATATATATATATATAAATATATTTATATATAATTATATTTTTACATAAATGTTTTATCTATATAAATAATAATTTTTATTACTAAATATTATATTTTTTTTATTATATTTAAATATTTAATATTAAATTAATAGTATATAATTTTAATTTTTTTTTAACAAACTATTAAAAAAAATGAATAGAAAATATTTATATATAATAAACAAAGAAAAGTAAAAAACAAATATAATAAAATATATTTAATTTTATTAGTATATATTATTTCTAAAATTATTTTATATATAAAGTTATTAACATGTAAAAGAAAGCGTTAAATAAATATATTTGAATAAAAATTTTGAAAATGATTTTAAAAAATATTATGATGATAATTCGAATTCTTCTTCAAATAATAATTCCAAAAAAAATATAAAAAACTATTAATTTATAACATCAAAAAAATCTAACTTAGGACATGGTGCATATAGTCACGTGAAACTTGCAATAGATAATTATTCTGGTAAAAAAGTTGCAATTAAATGTGTAAAAAAAAAATAGTTAATATATTTTATATTAATTTTATAATAAAATTTTATATATTATATAAATTTATTTATTTATTTATATTTATATATATTTATATTATTTTATATTTATATATATATACTTTTTTATAATATATATAATAGATTTCTAAAGAAAGTATATTTAAATTATGTTCTATTGAAAATTTAAAAAGAGAAATTAAACTATAAAAAAAAATGATTCATTAAAATATTTGTAAACTTTTTAGTTTTTTCGAGGATAAACAAAATGTATATTTAGTTCTCGAGTATTGTGAGAAAGGCAATTTATTTTAAATATTAAAAAAGTCTTAATTTTTTTTAGAAAAAACTGCTTTTGCTTTTTTTTTTTAAACATGTTTGGCTATTGATCATTTACATAAAAATGATATAATACATAGAGATTTAAAAGTTTAAAATAAATATTCATATTTTTTATAATTTAAGATATATATTATTAAAAAAAAAAAAGCCAGAAAATTTATTATTAAATTCTTAAAATATATTAAAAGTTTGTGATTTTGGTTTAAGCGCAGAAAGAGCAGATGAAAGAATTACATTTTGTGGTACTTTAGATTATATGGCTCCTGAAATAAAGGCAAGAGTTCCCCATGATCATCGTGTAGATATATGGTCTTTGGGAATACTTTTATATGAATTAACTCATG